TGCAGTCAACTTTACTCTTGTTTGACCTTCCAGTTACAACACTACCTGTAAGAAAACCAGCCTGCAAATCAACAAAATGTAAAATAGGAGCATAAAAAATAATCTCTGAAAAGATCTCTACAAGTCTTTTAATGATTCATATTTTGGTCTTAATTATATTAAACAAGTCATACATAGTTTGCATGGAAATGAACATATTTCTGCCTTCTCCAGCCCCACGTTAAAATGTGTTGATCTGATAGAAACTCATGTTGCTGGTTTCATGTACTTCAGGCTTGGAATTGTAGAAACTGTGAGACAGTCTTAACAAAGTTCACCAAAGCTGGGCTGCCATGCAAGAACATTTCAGGGTAGAGTTTCAACAGGAAAGCAGAAGCAAGAGATGCAGGAAGCCGCAGTACTCAATATGAACAAACACTTGTCAGGGATTTTGCATAAGTACAGATCAGTGCATCGTTTGTCCTATAGAGTGCTCATAGGAAACTGGACAAATCACTTCCACATGTTTCTCATTCTGTCCTATCCCCCACTTTGCAAATGTAATTTCAAGAAGAGCAGGCTAACATAAAATTGCCAAGGAAGCAGAGGAGTCAGCTCTTATCATGAAGGCCCTTTATCTTCTCTTCAGATGGCCAAATATACATCCCATCGCAGTGGCTGAAACAGAAATTTAGGAAGTCTTGATGACAGTCAGAGTTGTTGCTGAGAGTAGCTTGATGAACAGGGGAATCAGGGTAAATATAGCAACACCAAAGACTTGGAAACAATAGCACCATCAAAAGGTTGGAAACTAGCAATGGAGACTTGTCAGTATTGACTGATTTACAGCAACGTGGAGACTGCAAACTTGTGAGAGGTCTGGGTGTGTCGCAGTGCCACAGTTTGAAGTGTGAGAAGTAAAGGGTCGTATTATGGTGATTCAAACAAGACTATTATCCCTTTTTTATTTTAACAAGTGAGACCAGATTTGGAAGAAGCAGGGAGGAACAGAGGAGGCAGTGGGCAAGAGCAGATACCTCATCAGTAGTTCCAATGTATTCAAAGAAGTCTCTTCAGCCCAGTGTCAGTGACAGCTTTTCACAGTTAACACTGTCTCCTGAAACACTCTGACATCTTTCATCTGCAAGGGGTTTCACAGAACAGGCTTATGAATCAGGTTGCCAGTAGCCAGTAGATGTGACAACTCTTCTCAAGAAAGTGTCGCAGTCACACAGATTATCTTTGGCATCAAATATGATTCAGAACATTCAGAACAACACAGATGATCTGAATTATAACCACTCTATCCTGAAATTCTCTGATATTCACAGAAAGACCCTTTGCAACCAGTCATCACTTTTCTTGTGAATACAGATACGATATGGAACAAGCAGACTTGCAGTTATCACCACTAATAAATTCGCTCAAAGACATCAGTTCAACCATATATATAAACATTGAGTGTTCTGGTCATCTGTTGAACAAGAAAGCTATCTCTTCAGAACAGAAGCCTTCATAAAACAGAGTTTCCCTTCACAAACAACAGGAGCTGCAGTATCACCACTACTGCTGCCTCAGGAGTAAGCAAAAATGATGTCCTGCTTTCACAGCACAACTTACAAATAGCAGCCTGGTCTGCCAGTGTTGTGGCATGGTGTTGATGCAGGCACTGTCCCTGCAGCTGATGGCTGACCTTGGAAACAGTCATTCACCACACAGCAAAAAAACCATCCAAACCATCTTCACAATGCCACGCTACAGTAGCCCAGGATAACTCTCCAGATGCCATACAAACTGCAATACTGCAAGACATGATCATAGCACATACCAGAAATATGTTATGATGTGCTCTTGCTAATTTGGCAATGCCCATTAGAAGTGCAAATCCACACCGGGACTGGATAAAACCCGTATGGATCACTAAATATACTGACAGCTCGCACGTGGAACCATGCCAGGATAAAAGTTACATTCTTTTCAGCTTATGTGTCTGTTTGCTTTCATAAAGTGAGGGAGAAAACGCTCTTTCGCTGACTCCTGTGAACACCTCATTTGCATGGATGTAACGGAAATGTAACACTCATTTTCCCTGAGGTAGAAAAGGAACCACATCAAGCTTCCCCTCTCTGATGTATGCTGCCTTTGTGGCACGTGGCTGGAGCAAAGCACAGTGAAAACTACAGCTAAAACTAGTGTTGAAAGAGTGTTGTGTTTGAATGGAGAACATATAATGAAGAAAAAAAAAAAAAGGATCACTGTTATAGATGTAGTTTTCAAGCAAAAATTGCCTTTATTAAAATAGATTTTACTAACTTTTCTTTCCTGTTTCTTTTCTTACCAAGTTCTCTCTCTCTGGCCTTCCATACTTGTGGCCATACTGGTGCTTTCTGCATGTTTTTGTGACTCTTAGTTTACCAACCCAACAGAAGATAGAATTCATTTTCCTTTTTCCTGGTTAGTTTTATGCCCTGTTAACAATCAGAACATGTCAGGGAGGGGTCCAGTGCGTAACAGGTTTGGCAATATAAGCAGCAAGAATAGGTCACTAGGACCAAGGAGGAAGATAGGGAACAGAAATTCTGTGGCAATTACACATTAACTTTTCTCACTGCATCTTCATTCATCCTTTGGCTGAAAACTTTCCATTTTGGAATGGTGAAATTACATCTGGAGAAAAAGAATGCAAATATTGTTCCACAGTAAAGCAGCTCAGCATATACAGGTCTTACTTTCTCTTATTTCCAGAAGCACCTTTTACAGTCTACAATGACAGCAAACGATCTTCCTGTGTTCTTTCAACTATCCTCAATTGATTCCTTAATTTCATCTTGCAACTGTTTCTTTCCGCTCACTTGTTCTTTCTGCAATAGGTAGGCCACTTGATTCTTTCACCGTATTCTATCAGTAAGATCTTAACTGCTCTCCTTCACCTTTAGCCACAGTCATCTACTCCTCTCTCTGATCCACATTAGGAGCTCTGAATTGGCAAAAAAATGAGAAGTCACTGTAGTATTCCATTTAACAGCATTCTAATCATGTGGGTGAATTCTTTCACAAGAGTGCGTACTGCCAGTTTTAATCCTATGTACACTAACATCTGATTTTTCTTCAGTAGAAGTACTGCAATGTGCAGAGTTTCTACACAAGTACAGAAGGTCCTCCAACAAAAAGTAAATAATATAGACCAGACTGAGCTCTGTCATTAAACTAAACCAGCTGCAGAAAGCTTTACTGATGCTAATGAAACCTCATGGTTTTAAAATCCTGGCCCTAAGGAGAACTCACAATAAAAAGATAAAGCAAAACATGATGTAAATGAATTTAAAACACTGTAAGAGGAGATAAAACCCCTCATATATCACATTGTTGGTAAACGCTTGGTACTTAGCCATCCCTTCTCATGGCAGAAACAGAGGCTCTGCTTTATTAATTTTAAATACTTAGGAACTTTAGGTGTGCAGACAGCTCTGGAAACACTTGTCACCTTAAACATGACTCCCCACTTTCAGGACAGAAAAGTCTATTAGTTGTGCACAACATAACAAGTGTCTCTGACTCAGTCTCTGTAGATTTACGTTTTTTAGCTATCCCTGGGACAGTTAGAATCATAGAATCATAGAATAGGTAGGGTTGGAAAGGACCTTAAGATCATCTAGTTCCAACCCCCCTGCCATGGACAGGGACACCTCCCACTAAACCATGCCACCCAAGGCTCTGTCTAACTATTTGAGGAACTAGTCACAGCAGTAGAAGCTCTCTTTGCAATATCAGTCCTTCTGTGACCACATCTCAACCCTGATGTACAGAGAAAAGCCACTGCAGGTAGAAGGCAGCCATGCCAAATAAACCCCACCATACAGTGACTACACATAAACTAACTTTCAGCTGTTGTCCTGTAAGAACTGGAATAAGCTGGAAGACAAAGAGATTGCCAGCTACCAGGAAATGTATGAACATTCAACTACGGCAGGTCAAGTACAACTGTGTCTCTCAAAGTTACACACTGGTTTTTTGAACATCTGAGCATAGGCAGAACTTCCCTTGGGTTTTGATTTCTCCTTTTCAAGACGTTAGACTTGACCAGAAACATACCAACCATAGTTCATGGCTGCCCTATGACCTGTGTAGTGATACAGTGTAATGGTACTCCTGAACAGAAAAATCCACATCATATTTCATAAAAGTGACTAAGCAGAACCTAGGAGACAAAATGAGACGTAGACAACACGGGGAAAGGTGGTTCAGTAGCACTTTGTCCCCAGTACTTGCTCAGGCTCTTAGAAATTGCTTTAGGACAAGGTTATAGGCAAGACTAGACTTAGTGATTGCAGAGAGATTAATTGTGCCGTGGCATGTACGTCACAAACCCTGGGGAACAAAGCAAGCTTCTCTGCAGACTGAGCTGATAAGTGAGCTCACTGTAGGTAACTAAGTTAATCAGTAGGAGTCTGGGCAGAAGGTAGAGTAGATAATGAGGTGAAGCAGGAGAAAGGTGAAATGATTCCCAGAGACTGGAAGAAGAATGAAGATCAACAACAGGGAGAAAGAGAAAGGATAAAAAAAGGAAATCTGTGCTCTTAACTAAAGAAATCTGATGTTAAATGAAGTCTGATCCCCATAGCATGACTGAACAACAGAAAACAGATTGGGATAAAGAAAAGTGGAGGCATTCAATGAATTTTTTGCACAGTCTTTAATAATTCTGATAGACCTTGAGCTGCCTGGTCCCCTGAGTTGGAGGACCATGAGTGTGGGAACAGTAACTTTTCATTTGTGAACACTGAAATTGTAAGGGACCAGCTGTACCAGTAAATGTACTTAAGTCCATTTAAATTAATCCTCTGGATTAACCCCAGAGTACTGAAGGAGCTAGCGGATGTTATGGCAAGACCCCTCTCGATCATCTACCAAAGGTCTTGGAAGGTCTCTACTCACTAGTTATTCCAATCCTCAAAAAGGGTATGAGGGATGACCCAGGGTACTACAGACCTGTGAGTCTAACCTCAGTTCCTGGAAAAAACTATGGGCTATGGAGATTATACTGGGTGCTACTGAAAGGCATTTAAAGAATAATGCAGTCATCAGGCACAGTCACTATGGGTTCACAAAGGGAAAATCCTGCCTAGTTAATTTGATATCTTTCTACTATAAGGTCACAGACCCAGTGGATGAAGGGAAGGCAGCAGATGTAGAAATTTCTGGATTTTAGTAAGGCTATTACTATGGCAGCATCCTTCTGGACAAGTTGCCCAGCTGTGGTTGAATGTGTCCAGAGGAGGGCAACAAAGCTGGTGAAAGGGCTGGAAGGAATGCCCTGTAAGGAATGGCTAAGGACTTTGGGTCTGCCTAGTTTCAAGCAAAGGTGGCTGAGGGGAACCTCATTGCTTTCTACAGCTTCCTGAGGAGGGGAAGTGGAGTGGGAGGTGCTGATCTCGTCTCCCTGACATCCTGGATGCATGGGAATGGTTCAGAGCTATGCCAGGGGGAAGTTTAGACTGGACATTAGAATGCATTTCTTTACTGAGAGGGTGGAGAAACCCTCGAACAGGCTTCCTAGAGAGGTGTTGATGCCCCAGGCCTGTCAGTGTTCAAGAGACATTTAGACAATGCCCTGAACAACATGCTTTAAGTTTTGATCAGCCCTGAAGTGGTCAGGCAGTTGGACTAAATGATTGCTGTAGATTCCATCCAACTGAAATGTTCCATTCTGTTCTGTTCTGTTACTCTGTTCTACTGTATTCTGTTCTGTTCATTCTTTTTCAGACATGCACTAAAGGTTCAGATGGTAACAGACCTCAAAAGTAATTCAGTACCTGTTCTGTTGCTTATCAGTATCCCTCATTACCAGACACATCAGGGCATAAAAAGGAATTTAACTCATCCCTCTGTGAAATAATAAACCATTGCCTCCTTTGTAAAATCAAACGGGATAAAACAACATGTGACAAACAGCACGCAATCAGGATCAAAAAATGTACAGATTTCCATTTTACAGAACTCATAAGAGTTATGTGTGGGCCACGTGACATGGGCTGGGCCAGCAGCCGTTCCTGCTTTGTGAGGCAGAGATCAAGATTCCTCTGGTTCGCGGGGTGGTGGTGGTGGAAGAACATAGTTTTCAGGGCGGTTTATCTCACTAAAGTAAAGCAGACCAAACAGATCCGACACAGGTAAGCACTCCCCCACTGCTCACTCCGCCCTCTTTCCTCAGGAGTTTCCTGCTTTTGTGGGATAGACCTAGAAGAGCTGCAAAAGCGTAGAAGGTATGTGATCGTCTAGAAAGTGCCTTGGATTAAGAACCTGGAAAAACAAGGTTTCACACTCAAAACTTGTACAACAGCATCTTCCCATCATTCAGCAGTGGCTGGCTTTTAGTTTCAAAAGAAATCTTTATTGCCTCCCTAGAAGAAAACTCAGAAGGAGGGAGAGTTTTTACCAGTGTCCCATCCTCAGGTCAGAAGGAAAAGGAGCAAGGACAAAAGCGCTTGCACATTTTTCCTTGTGATGAAGAGAGAACGTAAAACATGACTGTTTCTACCTACCGAAACCTGTCTCGGGTAAGTATAACCTGAAAAACAATGTAGTTCTTTTTCTGGCATTTGTGTATATATATATATATATGTATCTATTTATGCTCCAACAGGGCAACCTACTTTGTGTGCAAAAAAATGCCCATTGTGTCATGCTTTTGTCATGCTTTTTGACAGTGTCTTCATCAAAACAGTGGGATATGTGTAGGTTAGTGTAACACATGCAAAGTGACATGCAAAAATTGTTGAATACAGATCCCTGGTATGTGTTTCGTATTGATTGCACACAGTGCAACTGCTGTCTCCTTCCCAGAGATGCGGTTTGGAATGGGGTACAGAAGGGGCTCTCATGCCTGAGGACAGTGCAAAAATATCACATCAACGGAAAAAGAACTGACGATATAGGCAAATATTCAAACACATGCCTACGTTTTGCAAAAACCAGCTACATCTAGAACCTAAAGTAGTGTTATTGCTATAATGCTACACTGAAGCTGGGTGTTCTATTTACTAGAGCTGACAGCCCCATTAATAAGGCTACTTCCAGGATCTGAACTAGTATCTGAATGTTTGCTATGCAATGTACAAACGTCCTAGAATTAACCTTTAAAGTTACTCTGTGTTTAATAATAACGACAAATCTGCATCCTAGACTGCTCTAAGTTCTATTAAGAAGCCCTTTTTAGATGAGCCTGGCAATAAGTGCTTATGGTCTATTTATGCATTTTAGGTCTGTGTGATCAAATGCTCCCATTATTCAGTATGCATTCACATAGGAAATCCTAGTACATTTACACTGGCATGCATTTATGGATGCATTTCCCTAGGATATTATGTATGTGCATAGCTGCATGTTCTCATGATGGCATGTACTCAAGTATGTATGTTCTTATTTTGGTCATGATACTTATGACTTCTGTTTTATGTTGAAAAAACTATTCCATCTTCCACAGATGTCTGTCCCCTTAACTGCTCATCTGTTTTCAAGTGTCTGCTACCAGCATCTGTACTGCCATGTGGTTAGAGACACAGTGGAAGAACATCCGCCAAGCCTTGTTGCTTCTTTTCACTGCTGCTCTTCTCATTGGGGTCACCATGCTGGCCATTTCATCCAACATCAATCCAGTAGGCTATTTCTTCCTAGGGGTAGGGGGAGTGTGCCTGATCGGCTATTTGCTGAGTGTGTTTGTTGAGTGTTACCTGAGGAATCGACAGCGACGTGACGCAAACGAGGTATCTCCAAACAGGCAAAACCAAGCAGGGTAAGCAGCAACCTGGCTATTCCTCTTACTTTAACTCTCTCCTGAGTCATGGCCATTTTACATATTGTTTTGCTGTCTTTCTCCTAGGACACAAAACACAGACTCTGTTCCAGAAGTCTAAAGTTCTTTTTCCATAGTTTTCCTTCATTCTTCAGGTGGAGGTTGCAAATGTCTCTGCCATGCGTGTCCTGTATTCTGTCCGATATATATTTTCTTCCCCCCCTCTGGGAACTGATCCACTAACAATTTCCAGGGTTAAACAGATCCAGGCCCAGTTTTATGTTTCTTTGAGTAATTAAGTCTTGCCAAACAATGAGTCAGACAAGGAAAAAGAAAAACTGCTGAGGCAATACTGAATCTTAGCTGGGTTTAGCTCTATAAACTTTATCTGTAAAGCAACTGTGCCTCAGCAAACTTTTAAAAAGGAACCTGTAACTGGGAGTGTTTCCAGTCTTAAACACCCAATTGCATGCTGATAAGCCCTGATTTTGAGAGGCTCTGAATTCTTCCACATCTTTTTGGCTTCACGCACATTTGCAGGTTCTCAGTGTCATCTAATTTTAACCCCTATTTACCTACTGCAGTTGAAGAGTTTACTTGTCTCTTTGCTTCCTTGTCTGTATACTCCACATAATCATTATCATATTCATAAATGACTTGACATTCTTAAATACAGGGTTTGTAAGAGGGCAAAATATTATTGTTTCTTTTTAGAAAGAGTAAGTAAAAAGGAGTCTATATTGAGCTTTGCTAGCTTGGGAACTCACTAGAAGAAAATTAGTATGTTTATTTAAAAATGCAACCTAGAAAGGAAAATGTTTCTAAAATAACATTTTCCTCTGTAGATACTCTTTTTAATACAAAAGAATTAGTCTTTTTTAAACTAAATGAAAATACTTGGGCTTTTTTCCTTTTAAAAATAGACAAACATTGAGCTAATGTATTAAAAAAGCAAGGTCCTGTTTTATTCCAAGAAATACTTAGTAGCAATTCTTAATAGTAAATTTTAACTGGTAGGAGATTTAAAATGAGGGACATCAAGCCAAACCTAGGACACTGCTGAACAGTGTGGGTTTCCTCACTTATTCCGGAGCATGTGGATGAGAATGAATGAGCCATTCTCTAGACCATGAAGCGAGATACTAAGCTGTACAAGTGAGCTGATCCAGTGGCACAATATCACATACAGTAAACCCATGTGAGAGATAATGTCTCAGCCCCATCTATTGATTGGTCCCAATAGTACATTATCTGGACTACCTGCTTCTGCATAAACTAAGCAGTAAAATAATCACTGTAACTGCCATTCCTCTTTTTGTGCATAGGGTGAACGCTGCCTATGAAGCACCCACCTATGAGGAAGTGATGACCATGTCAGTTCCAGCAATATGGACAATTGCATCCAATCCAGGCTTAGTGCCCTCGCCACTGAATGAGCCTCCTCCTTACAATGTAGTTATTGAATCATCCACCCAAGAAGAGATTATGGTGGAGGCTCTCAGGATGTCAGTGGCATCAGACGCAGTGCGAACCTCTGAGACAGACACAGGACCCAGGATGCAGTTGCAGCTGGTGCTGCCCCCAAGACTGCAGCGGTTTGTTTCGGATATCCATGAAGTGAAAGGTGTTGAAGACAGGTTTGAACCACTGGAGCCACTCACTCCACCACCTGCTTATGAGAGTGCTGTCAACGATGATGTCTTTGAAGATGCTTTCCAGCCCTCCATATTATGATTCATTTCACCTTCCAGGAATGCAGAACGAAATCCTCTGCCCAATATAGAATGCTCCTAGAGGGAAGGTGAAAGAGCTGAGATATTTCACACCAGAAACTGTAGAAATTTGCCTCACCATTCTTTGAACCAGAGCTGAGCTAGAGGCACAGCTTCTGATGTCACTAGAACCTTTTGCACAAAATACAAACCAATGCAATACCACAGTGCTTTGTCTTAGCAGATACATAAAACCCCTGGGAGGAAAGACATGTTATACCTGGCAACAATTCTTAAACTGGAGAGACACCTTTATGGAGGAGGAATGTGAATCCTGAGAAAAGGTTTCCAAAGGACCTCTGAAGAAGGACTGTAGGATGCAGTCAGGAGAAGTTGCCTGGGATAGGGGAAAAATAGAAACAGCACTAAGTAGATTCTGCCTGTGCATTACAAACAGCTTTGCAATCATCAGTCACCCTAAAACCCCTACTGAGAGACTGAGGCTGCAGTTCCCCCGAGTTGCTGCTTTGCAGCAATACAAATTTATAGTCTACACTGTTTGTTGCTACCCCTCTGCTGCACTTGCTGGGCATCCTTTGCTGTGTTCCACTACATCTGACTGAGGGAAGGATGGCTGTCTTCATCTAAAAGCTGGCACCACCTCATACTTGTCTCCTGGGATTGAAAAGCTGATGGCAAGCATGGCACCATGAAATTACTTCAGTACCTTCACAGGGTTCTTACCCACACAGCCTGCAGTGGTGGACAAGAGGGAGATAATAGCAGCTTTTTTCCTGTAAGAGGAGCTGGCAATGGGATGTGTACACACATACATGTCCTCTGCCTGAACCCCTGCTCCTTGCAGCTCTACAGGAGGGTGTATTTTTCAACTGTACTACAGGCCCAAACAGATGACTCAAGATACTTTATTGTTATCATGGCAAGCATTTGCACCTCCAGCTCTCCATAATGCTGCCATGCATGGAGGCTTCTCTCTGGACTCTGCAAAGGGCCAGTCCATCTGCCAAGGCCACAGCTGCAGCAGAGCACCCTGGAGAATAACAGCTTTGAGGCACATGTGGTGTTCTCGTGGCTCTAGGCTGGAGCCAGGTTTCAGCTCTCACTGATCAGTGATGCTGTGCGGTCATTTACAACGGTAGAGCTAACCTGATAGGCTGTGCAGGGTTAAAGCAGTCTGCAGCATGCAAAGAATCATTCATGTCTGGCGAGTGTCCAAATATAAACAATGAAATAAGGTGGTCTGAATCTCTTTATGAAGGAGAGCAGCAATGATCAAAGCTGTGTCTCATATGACTGCATCACCTTTAATTCATATGAGAAACCATCAAACCACAGGCTAGAAGTAAATAAATTCTTATTGTTTGATTCTTTTAAGATCAAAAAAAGAAAAAAAAAAACAAAACCCTTTTTATGTTGTTTATAAATAAACCACATTAAAAATACCTGGTGGCATCATTATTTTTTCCTCCCAAAAGAAACACCCCAGAAAGCCACGCTTTTGCCTGCATTCAGCTTATCTGAGAATCTTGGCTTAGAAAGTGGAGTTTAATTTCTAAATCTACAACTGAATCACTTTACTATCATTAATGATGCAGCTATGATGACACTATTATCATAGAATGAGATATAAATCTGCTCATAGACGAAGTGTGATTTCTTTAAAGCCAACCACTTTGTGCATTTCCCTCCTATATCTGCAAACACAAAAGAACAAACCACAATCAAAAACAATACACGTATACCACACAGTAATAGAAACAGAGTGTGAACTGGGCCACCCAGGACCTTTCTGAGTGCACCAAACTGCCAGGAGTCAGGAAGAAATTCAAGCAGCCAGCACAAGACAAAAACTGGTCAAAACAAAGGCCAAAATGTCACCAGTTTTGATCACTGGGATTTTTACCTTTTCAAGTTATTCAAGCCTTTGGACTTGTGTTGAGTTTTAGCATGTGAAACTCCTGTGCACCAAGGAAAAACTATCTGGAGCTTTACGTGACAAGAGCTGTAAATCTGCTTCTGCTAAAAGGATTTTCATTTGCTTCTCCCTTCATTTTTCAAGTGTACTCTGCACAACCCACGTGCTCCCTTCTCCCATTTAACTACGGAACATTACTTGAACCCTTTATCAAGGAGCGTGACCAGCAGGGCGCAGGAGGTGATCCTGCTCCTCTACTCTGCTCTCGTGAGACCTCACTTGGAGTATTGTGTGCAGTTCTGGTGTCCTCAACATAAAAAGGACATGGAACTGTTGAACAAGTCCAGAGGAGGCCACGAAGATGATCAGGGGACTGGAGCACCTCCCGTATGAAGAAAGGCTGAGGAAGTTGGGGCTGTTCAGCCTGGAGAAGAGAAGGCTGAGTGCAGACCTCATAGCAGCCTTCCAGTGTTTAAAAGGGGCCTATAGGGATGCTGCGGAGGGACTCTTCATTAGGGACTGTAGTGACAGGACAAGGGGTAACGGGTTAAAAGTTAAAACAGGGGAAATTTAGGTTGGATATAAGGAGGAAATTCTTTACTGTGAGGGTGGTGAGGCACTGGAATGGGTTGCCCAGGGCAGTTGCGAATGCTCCATCCCTGGTGGTGTTCAAGGCCAGGCTGGACAGAGCCTTGGGTGCCATGGTTTAGAGTGAGGTGTCCCTGCCCTTGGCAGGGGGGTTGGAACTGGATGATCTTAAGGTCCTTTCCAACCCTAACTGTTCTCTGATTCTATCAATTTCCGCTGATTTCACCTGAAATGTGTGTTAACAAGAGACGTAACAGAAAACCTGTAACAGAAATCCAACAAAAAACCCCAACCAAAAGCCAATCACAGAACTGCTCTGTTTGCAAGGAAAGCTGCATACTTGCTATTCTACCCACACATAGAACCCCTCCCATTACTCTGATGTGCAAGACTAATCCCACGGGCAGGGACACCTTCCACTAGAGCAGCTTGCTCCAAGCCCCTGTGTCCAACCTGGCCTTGAACACTGCCAGGGATGGGGCAGCCACAGCTTCTCTAGGCACCAGCGCCTCAGCACCCTCACAGGAAAGAGCTTCTGCCTAAGAGCTCATCTCATCTCCCCTCCGGCAGGTTAAAGCCATTCCCCTTGTCCCGTCCCTACAGGCCGTGTCCCAAGCCCCTCTCCGGGTTTCCTGCAGCCCCTTTAAGCACCACAAGACTTCCATGATCACACCCCGCACCCACCACGCCCAGGCACGACGAGACACAAACCCCACCGGCGCAAGGCGCGCCCGCGCATGCGCACACCCGCCCATCCGCCGCGCCTGACGCTTGTCCTGTGGCGCGGAGCGCTTGCCTCGGGGACGTGAGTGAGCGGAGGCAGAGCGGTCCGAGTCGCCGTGGCCGTCGGGGAGCGGTGAGTCCCGGGGTGCGATGGGTGCGCACCGCTCGGTGGGAGCCGGGCCCCGGGGGGGGGGGGGCACGCAGAGCCCTGCTCCTGCCTCGGCCCGTGCGGGTTTGGGAGCCGAGGGGGGCGCGGGTGTTGGAGGCCGCTTCCGGCCGTTGTCCGGCTGGCGGCGGGGTCGGTCCGCTTGCTCTTGGGCGGGAGGAAAGGGTGGCTCGTACAGTTGAGTTGCGCTTAGGTCTCACCTCTCCCGCTAGGGAAGCGTGCGGCATGCAGCGGTGTCACCAGGAAGCGCTAAAGAAGAACCGGGTGTTGCTGGCAAAGCAGCTGCTTTTAAGTGAGTTGCTGGAGCATATGATAGAGAAAGACATCATCACCGCGGAGATGGTGGAAGTTATACAGGTATGCAGGTTGTACTCGGCTACACCCGAGCCTTAACCTCGAGTTCTAGTTAAGCTCGGTGTCCTTCCTGGCAGTGGCAGCATGATAAGCTGCTTATTCTAATGTGATTACATGTGTGGAACGTGCAAAGCATGTGGGTTTTGCTTGCAACCCACGGGAGAACTGTAAGCCACTGTTTGCGATACTAATTTTGACTGGGGCTTACTAAATCGTTGGCTTGCATGCTGGAGTTGCAGCAGACTGTACTTTGTGAGTCCAGTAGTTATCTTCCAGTCCTTTGTTGTCATTTTGTGCCTCCCTATGTAGAAGTAGAAATAACACCTATTTCCCCAAGAATACTGTGAAAATAAGTAATATATTGTAAATCAGCTTATTGTGTCACCTGCCACTTAAAGAATTTGTACTTCATCTGTGTTTTCCTTAATTGCATGAAAAGCTTTGCATGATCCAGCACCCTTACTCTCACATAGCGAATGCCGTTCATACACTTTGTTAACTTATCCTGTGTAGTTGGTACTATGAAGAGAAGTCACTGGAATTATCTTGGGATTGCTCCCAGAGGCATGGTAATGCACTGAAGTGTGTGCAGGATGAAGGTAAAAGTCTTCAAAGAGAAAGCAGCCTGGAAAGGAAGTGACTGAAGGTGTATGTCAGGTGCATCTCAGGACTCAAATAAGCAATTGAGGCACTTTTTAGTTCCTTAGTAGGATTGATGGTCCTGTTGTAAAAACAGATGCTGAAAAACAGAATTATGAGCTATTTCTGGGCACTGCTGCACATGGTGTGAACCTTAGACTAATAAGGTTTTCAGAAGTAATGAAGAAATAACTTTGTGATGACTTTTGACTCACATGTGTCACATAATGTGAAATTATTCAGGGGACCTGTTAGGGGCACCTGTGCTAGGTAATTGGGAGATGCAGGCAGTCTCACCTGAAATAGCTCAGATCCCTAGTGAAGGAGGACAAAGGTGCAGCAAGACAGTGAAAAGTCATAGAATGAATCAAGATCTGTTTGTACTGGTTTTGGCTGGAATAGAGTTAATTTCTTCATAGTAGCTAGTATGGGGTTATGTTTTGGATTTGTGCTGAAAACAGTGCTGATAATACAATTTATGCTAAGTATGGGTGGTTAGTAGGGATGTTCAGTTGCTAGCCTGCGGTTAGTTACTGAAGGGGGACAGAGGGGAGGAAAAGGAAAGGAGAAAAAGGAAAAGAAAGAAAAAGCCCTCCCAAAGGTGGGATAATGCCAGAGAAAAGAGTCTTTTTGGCAAAATGGTGCTGCGACAGGGGAAGCAGACTAGAGGAATCTTCCCCTTCAGGTGTAATTCCATAAAAGGAGATGCAACAATACTTAGTAATGGATTGTCGGTAAGGAGAAAGGTATTACCAGGGGTAAGTCAGGTAAATAGCAATAGCTTAGTGGAAAAAATTATGCCTAATACAACCTACACACATAACTGAGAGCTTAAATATATATAAATAGCAATAGCAGATTGAGCAAGAGAACAAAGCGACTTGAACTACTGTTGCAGGGTATGAATCTGGACATTACAATGAAAACAAATACAGTGGGGAAGAAGGAAAGCACTGACAACTGGAATAGTAGTACTGTGAAATAAGGATAGAAATGAAGGGAACGTGCTAATAACAGTGCTATAGATACAAAGTAATGTGCATTTAAAAAAAAGATCACTTGGGTTAAAACCACTTTGTGTTGCTTTTCAATTTTCTGTGAATGTCTGTGAATTTGTAGTAGTCCTCCACTATGGCTGAAATGTGAACAAAAGTCTTGGGAGTGCCTTTAGGTAGCCTGTTCTTGAAAATGTATTGTGATGCTAATCATCAGGTACCTTAGTGGAAATAGGAGGAGACAAATGCCACCGAGGCTGATAGAGTGTAGATTTTCCTGGATATTCTAGCTGACTGGTTCTGTATAGCCTGCTGCTTCCCCAAGAAGTTAGGAAATTATTAAGGTCTGGATAAATATGTTTTAAATCATCTTGTCTTAAAAACAGTTATACTGGTCCTTTTGGTTTGATTTAAACTAAGCAGAAGAATAATGATTCTGGAAATAGGGCAAATTCACTTAAATAAACTTTTGTAATCTAAGGAAAGTGAAATAAACCAAGGAGCTCAGGGAGACCAAGGAAGGATGAAATTTCTTCAAGTGTGAGGTGCTAAACCAGTACTGAAATTTTACCACATGTAAGGAAAAGGTGAGAGGGGAGGATAGTGCAGAAAGAGCCGCTGAAGACAAAGGTAGTTTTGCAGGATGAAGAGCTCACAAGGAATATAAAAAGTAAAGAGTTTGTATGTGTATACTGGAGAAGAGCTAATAAATAGGAGCAGGTTCCTTTGATATCAAAGATGGGGAGAGAGGGTAGGCACTTAGAGGCATGAATTTAAATTAGGTTATTCAGAACGATACAAAACAATTTGATAATTTTTTTCAATTATATACACTTTGAAGAAAGAATAAAGAAAAATGTTTCACTTCTGAATGTTTGCTGACTATTGTTTAGTATAACCTGAAGTGGATGTGGAAGTTTCATAAGGAGATACCTTAATGCTGCCTTAAATACAAAAAGTGCTATATTTCTTTATTTTGGTGTTTAAGTAAACATGCCC